AAAAAATCTTTCCCAGATTTCTCTTCAATAAGAGGCGACAGGCGACAGTCCCTCGCTAGACAAGTCGATCGATGAATTTTTCTAGGGCTCTAATGTAATTCTGAGACTTAATTGTTGTGCGAAACGCTGAGGTGGGTAATTAACACATTTTCCTTGCGACCACGTGTTGTGCTCAACAGTGAAGCCATCGACATTTGCTATATGCTCCAATAGCCTCAACAGTTGATGCAACTCGTGTGTCTCTTACCGAAGCCCAGATCACTTACCTATAAGTGGATGCTGTCTGGTCCTCTGATCTGGACGACTTCTAAAAAAAAGAGGCGTCCGATTAAACAATGAAAATTCGAGTACGGACAACGAACTGGTTCATTCAATTCCGTTGTTTAGGCGTGGCTTGCGCGGGCCCAAATATTCGCGCGGTTTCGATTTTATAAGAAAAAGTAATTTTCGTGAGTCCGCGGTGGCTTCGAGGCCTAAACTAAGACGAACTAACGAATGGAATAAAACAAGATTGGCAGAACATGTAGCATGCTCACGGAGATGACAGATAACCCACACAAGAGTCTGAAGGAAAGAGACGAATTGGTGGACCTACACATCGATGGAAGGATAATATTAAAATGGATGTCAGTTTTCTCTTCGTATTACGTTAGGCGAGCGTAAGCTTCATTTTATTTTCTGACAAACTGCGTTGAGAATTTCAGGGGCACACACACGAGTCATAAAGTGAAGGCGGTAGGTACTGACCTTTTTCCCCAGGCGGTAAATGTCCTTCCATCTTCTTCCTGCTTTTGTGGGTTTGCTGCTTCTAATTTGTTTTCCCATCGCTTTCCACAGTTTCCTTACAGATTTGCCGATCTTGTCCATGGCAATCGCTGAAACTCTCCGATTCGCTAACCTCACAGAACCGCTCGAAGGCTCGTATCGTAACAGAATAACCACGGAAACCAGTCAACACCTGAACGAAGGCGAATTTGCTTTTCGCATTGTTACGTATTCCAACAATGTAGCCGCAAGGAAGAAAATTATGTCTTGACCAGGATTCGATGGGTGCTCCAGGCTTCAAATCGCAGACCGGAAGTTGTCTATCCTGATTAGCGGAGGAGAAGTTGGTGGTTTTATTCAGTCCGTCCATTCAATGCTTTGCAGTCTTTATCTTCCTCTCCTCCCCCACTTAATATTACCTGCGCCTCGTCGTGGTGGTGGGGCCGAGGACCTCAGTGACCCCAAGAGCTACTGGTAGGGTTGGTCGAGGGGGAGAGGTACCCTGGTCCTCCAGGTTGGGGGTTGGTCGCAAGGCTAACAACCTTGCACTGTAAAAAGGAAGATGTTTCGAGACCTCGATCAAAGCCTTGGACAGACGGACCTAACAGAGGACCGAACGGAAGAGGAGAATTGAGGAGGCCATGGACCGAATACGAACCGGAGAGCCATAGAAGAAGAAGAAGAAGATAGTTTGAGATACTGAAGAAGCGTCATTAAATAATCTGTAAATAATAATAATAATAATAATTTTCGTATTGTTTCAGTCGTCATTTAATAACCTACGACTCTAACCAGCCTCTAAGAAAAATGGAAGTAGGAATTTTGTGATATTTATCTAAGAGAAAGTTGTATAAGGAACTATTAGAAATTTACCCTTTAAAGCCAAGTGGTAACTATATGTACCACTTCCTGTAACAATCAGTATGTTACAGTTTTACGTATCTGCGTATCGTAGGATTCTCACAATAAACAGAGGTTATTTCCTTATGGTTTATCGCATTTCTACTGCAGATTAATTTTCTGTATGTTTTACGATGAACGGTTCATTAGTGCTATTGAGGCATAAAGAAAACTTCTCATAAAAAAGAACCTACGTTTATAAAAATTATTGTACATAAAACAAGACTGACTGCCAATTGTGGCACAATTTGTTATATTTCGCTTGGGCATAAAAAATGTTGATGTAGGTGGAATAAAAACAAATAGTTGTTTTACTACAAATGTTACAATTTAATTTACGACATTAAATAATACAAGAAATTAGGTATTAATTTTGTAAGTGATATTTCGATGTTTGTAAAAAATGCTTAAATTTAAAGGACGTACTTAGAGGAATTAATGTATAATTACGTAATTGAATTATATTATAATACACTTTATAATTTGACAATAAAATGAAATTTTATTTTCCTGTGATAACATTAGAAGCGGTAATATTAAAAATAAAATTGGTGATAACATTAATAAGAATAATTTAAACCCTGGTCTTCTATTACCGTAAGGAGTCATCAATGGATTGGACGTTTAAGTTTTCACGGCTCTGAGGTGCAAGACAGCTCGCTTCCTAGCTGTAGCGCCGTGTATTCTGGTAGAACTCCTCCGACGTTTCAGAGGTACTTGCAGCATCTCGAAAAATGGGTAAGGCTAAGGGTACGGGTTACAAAGCATGGTCTGACCAACGGGTAATATGAACAGACAGGAAGAAGGCATTAAACTATGTTCTTCCCAGTCAATTCCCTTGGCTCTGACTCCTGAGTCATCCATAAAGACCTTGCCTTTCATTCTGTCATGGGCCATTCTCTAGGAGGCAAACAGGACCTCTGAAACGTCGGCAGAATTCTGTCAGGTGATGTGGCGTACAAACAAAGCAGACGGCAAACTCACCGCCGTCATAACCTCAAATTTATCTTCAAAGTTTTGGAACTGAAGTGACCAGGTTTTTTAATAATTAAGTTTGACCTGTGAGAGGAAAGTTCATTTTCTACGGATTTATAATTGTAATTGAGTTTGGAATTTGCTTAAGCGTGTTCATCCTTAAGGACTTTAACGTACGAGATAGAAAAATTCCCTTCAAAGCGTTCTCCTCCGGAGGCAACAAATTCCTTTGCCGTCGGAGCTTTTTTGACAAGTTCTCGGACGCTCGTGGTGACATCCTGAAGTGTTTTGCGACTTCGTAAGGGCGATCTCATGTGATTCATCCAGTCGCCGTATTTGATTCTTCGCATCGTTCAACTCTCTCTCCAGGGTCTCTGCCTTCGACGCTAGTGCGTTCTTCTCGAACTCAGAGAATCGATATCTCATCCTCATTACATCGATTAAAGCCATTAAGCAATCGTTGTAAGCTTCGTCTCTCTGAAAACCACCAGAACAACAAATAAGCTCTGACTGGCAAAGAGAGACTTTGGAGGATTCGGAGACCTCAGTTTCAAAAGTGACAAAGAGAACCCATCCCATCTTTGAGATCAACATTTTCCTTTTTTATATCTGATGCTAATGATATCTGCCGGCCTTTGATTCTTTATATTTCACTAGTGACAAGAATTACAGACGAATGAACAATTAATCGATCTGTAATTACAACAATTTTGTGTGTACCACGTGACATACGATACAAGGATACATCAAAGTCAAGCGGTCGTTCATCGGACTCGGTATGAAACCCAGAGAAGATGAGATTCATCATTTCATTCTCAAAAAATAATTACGTCATTAAACAATGTTCTTGAACTATGAATCAAAATCTACACAGCGAGGCAATAATCATCAGTTTCCCC